GCATGATATTAAAACTAAAAGCGCCGGTACTCTTAAACGGTGTATGTAAATGAGTGCAGTTAACTCACAAACTGTCTTGTTCCAAATAAGTGGAAGTGAGCATGGGAGCACTTCTGGCTCCATCGGCTCTGGTTCTACTTTAATTCTAATTTAATTCAAATTTTATTTTATTTTATTCTAATTTTATTTTATTTTATTCAAATTTTATTTTATTTTATTTATTCTTATTTAATTCTTATTTTATTTATTTTATTCTTATTTTATTCTTATTTAATTTAATTTAAATTAATTTAATTATATTTAATTGTATTTTATTTTATTTTATTTCGGTCACAGGTATATTTTGACATTAATTCACAGACAGTCATATTTAACATACACAGACCGAAAAGGTGTAGGCTGGAGCTTAAGCTTATTATACCTTTACCCTTTATTCCTTTATCAGAGCTTCATCTTAACACCAGTTCATCTTCATAAATACAGCAAGAGGAAACAAACTAATCAGAAACAGAACAACAAAGTTCTACAGCACAAACTAAGTCTCATATTTCATGTATCTGTCCAGAGTTAAACATTTAAACTTCTTTATAAAGTGAAAGAGACTGGTGCACAATTTCAGGTTTTCTGTGCAGTTGTTCCACAGCTCCACCCTTTAACAGATATACACAATTTCATAATGTTTGTTCCAATTTTCTTTTTGATAAACATGGAAGTGCCTCTGAGCTCATATTGGTTCTTTCGGATTTTGAACATGTTCTGTAGCGATTTTGACAGGAGATTGTTGTTTACTTTGAACATGATTTTCAGAGTATAAAGGTTAATTTAGTTAATTTACTTCATACAGAAAAGGCTGTCAACATAACCACAATATTGCAATACAGCGGTATGATCAAACCGCATTTTGCTTTTTACTTTTCTACTTTGAAACATTTCATGTTTACGTGGTTCTGAGCAAATTAGCTCAAATACTGGGACTACGGGTGTGCAAAAATATCAAAATATTGATATACTGTATCATTTAATGTGATGATATGGTATGGATATTGTGGGCTGCTGTATCGATATATCAAATTATTTAGTTACAGCGCTACAGTTTTGTTGCTTGTTCAGAGGAAAGAAATGTTTTTATTAGGGATGTAACAATAGCCAAGTCTCATGATACGATACCATCAAAGTATGAACCTCACGGTATGATTTTTATTGCGATATCGTGGGAAACCTCACGATTAGGGATGTAACAATATTCAAATCTCTTGGTATGATATTTTCACGATAAACATCTCACGGTGCAATATTCATTGCGATATTTTGTGGAGGCTAAACAGCTAAATATGCAACTTTTTCCTCTTAAAATGCCTCGACAAGACTTAATCCAAAAATATTAAAATGACTTAAAAAGTTTTAAAGGTGCTTAGAACTGTTATTTCTTTTTGTAGTCTGCACTGAAATGGAGCAAAGGATCATGGTCTATGTAGTTCCCTCTGTGTTTTTTTTTAGCTATTGCTTCACCATAACTCTTAATTTAAACAAAGACACTTGTGATTCGATATATTGTGATGGTCCACGATATTATTGTGAGAACTTTGACGATACGATATCACGATATTTCGGTTATTGTCACATCCCTAATTTTTATGCAACAACATTTGACATTTTCACAGTTTTAATGATTAAAATGGGTGTATTTCATATTAACTTTGCACAAGAAGTGGTTTAACAAAGACTTGCCATGATTTAACCTTTGTTTTTTATTGAACTGTATCGAATGCATTTGAAATATATCGTATCAAATGAAAGCTCACTGTATCAAGATCAAGTATCACATCGTGGCCTGTGTATCGAAGTATGTATTAGAGCCTGACCGATATATCGGCGGGCCGATATTATCGGCCAATATGGGCACCTGGAGACATATCGGCTATCGGCCGATATGCTTGCTGATATGGGTCGATATTTCACGTGGGCATGTTATACCTCGTTATAAAGCTTAGACTCTCTACATTCTGTTCATTTAATCCAATTTACAGACAGATAAATGTCCTAATATGTGGCTCCACATCAGTATTTATCTGCGGTGTAATTTGTCTGTGTCTGTGTCCGTACTGTCCCTGAACACACCACAGAGTCTCGTCACTTCACTCACGTGTTCTTGTTTACACCCGCAGCCGTGCACAACACTGAGATTAGTTTCTTTTTACGACAATCGGTTTGAGTCTGGATTAAAAGGACATTTATTAGTGCAGACTTGTGATGTGAGGAGGAGCCTGTGTGAGCGGTGAGTGTTGGAAATACATCGACTTTGAAGCTAGTTTAGGTTTTGTTAGCGATTAGCTGCTGTAGCTCCCGCACATAAACAGGCTGTTTTCTATTGACTATATTGGCCGTATATTTGTTACTGGACCTGCATTGATATGTAAATGAGCTGTGAATAGACGTGTGAATGATCCACATTTATGCATATAATTAATTACCAGCTAAAGGCTAATAGCGGTAGTTTATTTACTAGCTAGGAGTTATGGGTCGGTCGCGATCGAAGCGGCTCTTTGAAGCGAACAACGGGAGCATGTTTCTTATTGGGAGCCGTGTTTTCTCTTTTTCTCACTTTTTCTCTTCAAGCCGCTTGTAGACCCGTAGTTTGACAGCAGCAGCGGCTGAAAACGAAACTTTCAGAAATCTGCGTGTACACAGGATTTTTTTTTAAAAGTGCATATTTGGCTGCAGTTCAGCATAAAATGAATAAACCAGGACTAATCTTGGCCTCGAGTGAGGGAGAGAGATAGAAACCGAGTCCCGACACTCAGACCTGGTTAAGTTCTGGTTTAGTCCTGTTTCACACATGGTTTAAAATCTGTTTTAGTCCTGGTTTAGTCCTTTTTCAGTCCTGGTTCAGTTCTGGTTTAGTCCTGCTTGCAACAAAAACAATCTCAAGAGTCGCTTGGGAGCCGAAAGAGCCAGCTGCTTTAGTGAGCCGAGCCAAAAGAGCCGGTTCTCCCAAAAAAAAACTGGAATACCCATCACTAGTAGCTAGAATGTGATGCAAAAATGCCATTAGGCCAATCTACTGTCTGTAAATATGATGTAAAGAGGCAGAACAACAATAAATGTTGCCTAAATAAACCCAATTTAGAATCCACTAGAGCCAAACCTAAGTTTTTTAAACAATTCAAGATTTACAGTGAATTTTTACATCACTAAATATATCGGCGAATATATCGGCTATCGGCAGCTCCAACTCCCATTATACCCGTTTCATATCGGCCACAACAAAATCCATATCGGTCGGGCTCTAGTATGTATCGTATCAGCAACTTCTTAATGATGCCCAGCCCTAATTGGGACCCAACCCAAACACTCGGTTTTGTTTGCGTAATGTTTTAAACAACTCTATTCAAAGCCGTGCACATAATTAAACATCACTTTTGGGCTTCATCCTTTCAAACGACATTGCCATCTCTGGACAGATTACATAGAACTGGAGCTATTATAAAAGAATAACTAAAAATATTCAAAATCATTTAATCAGTGTGAGTGTGTACTAGACACGACATGTTGTGGAGAGGAGATGCCGCACTGAATTATTCAAGAAATCATCAGACAAGAGCTGCTCAAGTTGCACTGAGGTTTGTTCAGTGATGGAGACCGGGCTATTAAGACCAGGGACACTGTTACATAAAAACATCTGCTGTGACTCGACAAAACCAGGATGAAATATTCTGTGTTATTTTATCGGATAGTCTTGAAGGTTCTATATTACACAAAATTGAGTCTTGTGAGCTTTAAACAATGTTATAATGTTCTTACCTCCTCAAAAACATACCCGGAGTTGTGTTTTGTTTCATTCACACATGTTTGAGTAATCTTTTATTATTAGTCTGTCTACATCTACAAAGCTCAAATGAAGTGATAGCTTTTAATTTATCAGCAACCTTTTAAGTTTTGTTCACTGGAAATTGGCAAATCCAGGGCTGAACTCATCCAAATGATTCTAGTGAAGGTGTATACAGATTAAAAACACAGTGGAGCACTTCAAACCTTCAATCTAAACCTAAAACCTTCAAATCAGGCTAGAAATCTAGGGATAATGAACTCAGACTTGAACTTTAACATCAAGTTAATAACATCTGCACCTTTTACCATCTAAAAACATCGCAAAAATCACAGGTTTACTGTCTAAATCAGACTTGGAGAGACTTATCCATGCGTTTGTCTCCAGTAGGTGAGACTACTGTAACAGCTTGCTCACTGGTCTCTCCAAACGAGCTGTGAGACGCTGGAGTACATCCAGAATGTTGCAGCTCAGGTCCTGACTCGAACTAGGAAGTAAAAGCACATGCGTCCTGTGCTCAGGTCTCTGCACTGGCTCCTGTGACTCAGAGAATAGACTTTAAAGCAGCTCTGCTTGTGTAGTGTCTTCATGGCCAAGCACCAGAGTACATCTGTGACATGTTAGTGTCATATGAACCATCTCACACTCTGAGGAGCTCAGGGACCAGTCTTCTACTGCTGCCCAGAGGCAGGACTAAACACGGGGAGTCAGCGTTTTAGATTCATGCAGCTAAAACCTGGAACAGTCTTCCTGAAGATGACTGATGCTGTTTAAATCCAGGCTCAAAACAGTTCTGGTTAGCCGCATATGACAGAAAGGTTTTTATTTTTCATTCCGCACTCTTCTCTCTCATTTACTGTCTCTCTCTTTTTATTTTATGATGATTATTTATGTTTTGATTAGTTTTATTGTGACTTTAATGTATTTCTTATTCTGTAAAGCACTTTGAATTACTTTGTGTACAAATTGTGCTTTACAAATAAACTTGCCTTGCCTTGCCTATTATCACATGACATCACAAGGTGGAACAGTGTTTTCTGTTTGAGAGAAGAACTCTAAATATGCAGGATTTGTGTATTAAAAATGTGTGAATGAAACAAAACACAAGGTTCAACACCCTCCTTTCCTGTACATTATATTACACTGTCAAATCAAACATCTGTCCAGCACTGACCTGTGACGGCGTCGTAGAACTCATCCTCATTATTCATTTTGCGGAGCTGGTGGGAGGTTTTGGGGCAGAGCTGGACTTTAGCACATGATTCTTCAGTTTGAGGTGAGATTCAGTTCCTCTGGACCCTGGACCAGGATCTCCAAATTTGGGCTTTCAAGAAGCCACGCCCCCAGGAACCAAGCAAGATCTGATACTGCAACAATATCCCAATCCTCAGTCTTCTTCTGGAGTTTGGACCAATCAGAAAAGGAGGATATCGGCTCTGCTCTGGAGTGAAGAAGTCAACCTGAAAAGACAGAATACATAAAGTGAAAGGTTAAAATTTGTGCATGTTTAGAAACTCTATAGGACAAAAAAAATAAAAATAAAAAATAAAATCACTGAAAACAAATCTATCAAACTCTGTCCTAGTACAGATATATTTTATGAACATCTCTTGAGGTCAAAACAAGTTTACTGTACTATTTAATACTACTAGCGATGTAACAATAACCAAAATATCATAATATCGTATCGTCAAAAGTCTCACAAAAATATCGTGGGGTGTTTACAACATATCAAATCACAAGATCCTTTGTTTAAATCCATTTTTTATAGTAGCGACAGCCTATAAACACCGAGAACTACATATCCCATGATTCATTTCAGCGCAGACAACATGAAGTAATATGTTTTTACTTGAATTCTTGGGATTATGACGGAAATAATTCACACCAAACTCTTGTCAGGGTATTTTAAAAGCAAAAAAGCATCCTATCTCCAAAATATTGCAGTAAATATCGTGTACCGTCAGATGCATATCGTATGGAGAGATTTGGATATCGTTACATCCTTAACTACTACTACTACTACTGTACCCTCTGCCTCTACTTCTAATGCGTTTTATTGTCCATTGTCCTGTTATTATAATCAGGAAGTAAACTGTTGCTAGAGACGACGTAATCCCTCACTCGTCCATTAGTGCTTCAGCGTAGAGACGGTTTTCTAATCCGGAAACCAGTTTCACAATTTGGCTCTCATCCAGAATCCATTTTCAGCTGATGAAAATGGCTTAAAACACTTGGAATTTATTAGAGATGTAACAATAACCGAAATGTCGTCATATATCGTCAAAGTTCTCAGTGTCTCTTTGCTTAAATTAAGAGTTATGGTGCAGCAAAAGGCAAAGGGAACTACATAGTCCATGATCCTTTGCTCCATTTCAGTGCAGACTACAAGAAGAAATAACAGTTCTAAGCACTTTTAAGTCTTAGTTTTTTGGCTTAAGTCTTGTCGAGGCATTTTAAGAAGGAAAAAGTAGTTCACAGTTTTGTTTCCCTCCACAAAATATCGCAAAAAATATCGTAACGTGAGGTTCATACCGCGCCGTATCGTGGGACTTTGATATCGTTACACCCCTACAATTTATTCTTCTCTGATTTACTAAGTCCAATGTGATGGAAATTTATATTGTGAAAAGATTTCTCTCAATCTGTCTTTGTGTGAATTTCTAACTGAGACCAGACCCCCACAGGAAAATATTGATTATGATGACATTCAAATAGTGATTAGTTTATCTTCTAGAAAAACATTTGGCCTTGTAACTAAAACTCATTGGTTTGTTAGAATGATCCTTCAGTGTAAACACTTCTGTTCCCTTTTGCTCGCCAATCTTGTGAATATGGATGCAAATCAGATCAAGCACATCTGACCACACACCATGGAGTAAAGCAGGTGGCAAACACTCAATCAGAAAAGTTACACAATGCACTTTTAAAGACTGTTAAAAAAAACCAAATAGCACCTTAAAGCTATTCTGTTTATCCTCCGCAACATGTCAAAAAACCTCACATGCCTCAGAAATGTATAAATCTATAGTCTACCTTCAAACCCTCTAGGCATCCTCGTACCCCGACATTCATTATTCCCACCAGGGCTCTAAGAGTAATTGCAATCAAAGAGCCATTTCAATCTGAATGGCTGTATACAGAAAATTGCCAAGGCCGCAATTATGTATGTAATATAAAGTTCAAACAGAACACCGTCTCCCCATGGAGTCTAACTAATTATAAAACCTGCTAACCCTGTAATTTAAAAACATGTTCTGAAATGCATGAGATTCTTGTATTGGTTTGGCAGTGCACATTTCAGTCTCCTCTAAAACCTGAATGCTACTAGTTTAAATCTTGGTAATCTCGAATAGGGATGTCACAATATCAAATTTGCAATTATTATAAGAAAAAACGCGACCATTTAAAGATTATTCCTGATTTGTGAAACCATGACCAATCAGGTGAAATCCTTAAAGGTCCTATATTACGCAAAATTGACTCTTGTGAGCGTTAAGCCATGTTAGAATGCTGTTACCTCATCAAAAAACCTACCTGGAGTTTTATTTTGTTTGATTAAAATTTGAGTAATCCTGCATCATTAGTCTGTCTGCATTTCCAAAGCTCTAAACCTTGTAATGCCATCAAGCTGTGGATTTTCAAGTTAAGAGCTACCGTTTATTCAGTGGAGATCGGCAATTCCAGGGCTGAAATTATCCAAATGATTCTAGCGAAGGTGTGTGGAGTTTGAAAACACAGTGGAGCACTTCCTGTATTACCACATGACATCACAAGGTGGAACGGAGTGTTTCTATTTGAGGGAAGATCTCCAGGTGAGGAGATAACATTATAACTAGGGGTGTAACGATATCCAAGTCTCGCGATACTAAATCGTCACGGTATGAACGATATTTAGATATTTATTGCAATATTGTGGGAAAGTTCACGATATGGTGGGGAGGCTCACGATATCCAAATCTTAAGGTACGATCTTTTCACAATATACATCTCACGGTACAATATTTATTTCGATATTTTGTGGAGGCTAACAAAAATATTAATATGCTACTTTTTCCTCTTAAAATGCGTTGACAAGACTTAATCCAAAGAACTAAGACTTAAAAGTGCTTAGAACTGTTATTTCTTCTTGTCGTCTGCACTGAAATGGAGCAAAGGATCATGGTCTATGTAGTTCCCTCTGTCTTTTTTGCTGCACTAACTCTGCTTGCTATTGCTGCACTAACTCTTAATTTACGCAAAGAGATTTGTAATTCGATATATTGTGATGGTCCACGATATTATTGTGAGAATTTTAACGATACGATATCACGATATTTCGGTTATTGTTACATCCCTAATTATAACACCTTATCACTCTCATTATTTATGTTAAACGATGTGACCTTGTTTATGAATCAAACTTTATGGATGATAAAGTAAAGTTGAGACGACATAAACGGTCAGATGAAGAAGCACTTTTTGGAGTATACATTGAATGAAAATTACTTAATTTTGCTTCTAAAATGATCACATTATTATCTTTGCACCCGTTGTGTTGTATCTAGTGCCAAAGGCTGCAGGATCCGGATGCTGCTTGCCAACATTGGGTTATTTTTACACCCCTATCCTACTCGGTTACCAGTGCTGTGGAAATGTTTGTACTGTGGAAATGTTTGTACTGTGTTTTGACTATATGCTGATCTCCCGGAGGTGTTGTTTTGTTTTTTTTTGTGTACTCATACCATACTATGCCCCGATAGGAGCAGGGTCTGGGGGCAGTTCTCTTTCTTTTCTCCTCCCTCATCCTCATTTTATGCTGCATTGTTTATTCCTATTTGCTACGTGTCTTCTGGTCCAGCCCATGTCTGGTCTCCTCATGTCATATTGTACTGAGCACTTGTAATGTGATTCCTTTGTAATTTTGATTCCTTTGTATGTCCAGTACATGTGAAGAAATTGACAAAAAAAGGCAGTTATTCATTATTCATATTTTAACCTAACCTTGACATCCCCTAATCTTGAACTAAATCTTAATTTGAAAAACATAGATCACAAATGTAAGCACAATTCAAAACGTATCAGAAAAAAAGTTAATGAAATTGTTCAGCCCCTTCAAACTCCTTCCTCAGACCATTTTGTTCTGAACACATCTCCAAAACGTTATAAAAATCTATAAAAGTATAAGAGCATAGACTAGTATACGCACAGAAATTACCTGGACACTGAGGGATTACACAGATATAAGACCACATGGAAACATAAAAGAAAATGCTACGATTTAATATTGAAAATTACCTTCTACAGTCTAAAGAAAGTAGAGCTGGGTATCATTAAGAACCTCGATACACAGGTCACGATACAATACATATCTCGATACAGTGAGCTTTCAATTCCATACGATATATTTCAAATCAATTCAATACAATTGTATAAAAAATAAAGGCTAAATCAATGCTGTGATACTAAAAGTCTTTGTTAAACCACTTCTTGTGCAAAGTTAACATGAAACACAAACATTTTAATCATCAAAACACATAAATGAGTTTATTTCCTCTAAACAAACAACAAAACTGTAGCGCTGGAACAAAATAATTTAGCAAAATATACCAAAAAATACTCTTGGCGATATATCGATACAGCAGCCAACGATATCAATACTGTATCACCACATTAAACGATAAGACGTAATGATATTTTGATATTTTTGCACACCCGTAAAAGAAAGTGTTTTTATTATCATCACGGTATCGGAATCATAGTTTATTCCTTAGTTCTGAAATCGAGTTTGAAATTTTAGCATCATGACAACACTAATCTTAAAGTTCCCATTCCAAATCCTTACCTCGTGTATTTGTCTCCGCACCAAAAGCTCCTAATAAAACAGCACACTCTCAACTCTCTTGTTCAAACAGCTTTTCATTTTGCTTTGCCCTGAAGTCTTTTGTTTGCACTGACAATCATTAAACAAACAAGAAGCTTTATTGACTGCACACTTCCACGCTGTTAAACGGTACAAACACAAAGGTGAAAGGTCAGCCGAGAGATGTCTGCCTGTAGGCCTCTTCACAAACAATAAACAATAAACACGCATTTACCCTACGTTTCGCTCGTAAGGCTTCTGTGGGGCTTTTTGACTATTAAAAAGATGAAGAAATTGACGCAAACAGTCATAGTAATACAATACAGAAAAGGTGGAAGTGTCTTGCCCAAGAACACAATGACGACATGTTGGTGTTTGTTAATTGTAAAATAGTACGTTGCTGTGACAGTTTTTAAAGGAAAATATTGAAAGTAAAGTGACTTTTTAACTAACAAAATTTTAAGCCTTTTTTTTCGTCCGATAATCAGGAAGTAAACTGTCGGCATGCTAGTCATTGTTTGCATTATTTTGACATTAAAAAGTTGTGAAAAGCATTTATAAACTCACGGTTGTGAATAATTAGGATGTTTGAGATGCATAAGGTGAGTGAGGAATGAC